AAAATGAAGCGGGGGAAATCAGAGGGGGAGACGAACCATGAGAGACTGTGGACTCTGAGAAACAAACTGAGGGTTCTAGAGGGGATGGGGTGGGTGGACGGGTTAGCCTGGTGATGGGTATTAAAGAGGGCACGTACTGAATGGAGCACTGGGTGTTATACGCAAACAATGAATCATGGAACACTACATCAAAAATAAATAAATTAAAAATATATTAATATTTTCTGACAGGTATGATTAGCTTTTTTCATTATCAAAATCAACAGTTTGCGTATCTCCAGTCTATACCCAATATAGCAGTCTAAATCATATTCCATTACTTAAAAACCTTCAACTTGGAACATAAAGGTCTCTACTCCTTTGTCTGACACAGGAGCCCCTTTAAAAAATCCACTCAGATCCTTTCACTCCTCTGCTCAAAGTTTTGCAATGCCTTCTCATTTCACTAGGAATGAAGATCAAGGTCTTACTAAAGCCCTAATAATCTGCACTCCTCCCTCTTACTCTTCTTTGTTTTCTACTACACTATCCCTCGAGCAATCTCCAAGTCATGCTCCCTAACTTAAGAGTTTCTGTTCTAGTTATTCCCTCTAGGATGTTCATCCCTGAGAAATCTATTGCCTTACCACCTCTAAATATTTACTGAAATTTACCCTTTTCAGTGAGGCCTTCCTTGAGCACCCTATATAACACAACAAACTCCTCTTTTTCCTCTACACTTGGATTCCCTTTAACTGCTCTAGTCCTCTTTTCCATAAAACTTACCACCTTATAAAGTAGTACACAGTTTTACATATCTATTTATTATTTATTGACCATCTCCCTCTGTTGGAATGTAATTCCCAGGAGGACTGAGGTATCCCACATACCAAGAATATTGTCTGACACGCTGCTGACACTCAATAAATATTTGATGAACAAATGAATGAATGGTTTTCACCTTATTTGCTAACTTAACTTTTAAGTACAAAACTGACAAGATTAAACAGATTGCTGTCAGTATTACTCCACCAAAATTTAAGTTTCAATCACCTTTAGTGTTGACATGCTTCCTATTTGGCACTGCCTTAGTTGAGATCCTTCAATTGCTTCCAAAATGGTTCCTCCTTCACATGGCTGTCAGAATTATCTTTGCAAAGCACAAACCTAATCAAAGCAGTCCATTGCCTAAAAACATCTATCTATCTTAGAAAATAAAAATCTTTACTCCTCAGTTTGACAAAGGTGTCCCATAATTGGACCTCAATGTAATTTATGACTCATTTTCCACCTTTCCTTATAAACCCTATGATCTTGCCACACTAGAACATACATTTATTTTCATTTTCACACCTGCTATATTCAGATTTGAATATCCTACCCTTTCTTCACCTTGGCAAGTGCTATATTATCTTTCATGACCCAAGGCAAATGCCACATTTTTTAAAATTTTATTTATTTGAGAGAGAGTGAGAGAAAGAGAGCGTGCATGAGTGGGGGGAGGAGCAGAGGAAGAGGGAGAAGCAAGACTTCCTGCTGAGCAGGGAGCCCTGATGCAGGGCTCCACATTTTTGATACAACCTTCTTCAATGCCCCAGGAAGAAGTAGTGCCTCCTTCCTGTACTCAAGCACTTTCTACACACATCTACTAAAGCACTTAGCACCCTGAATTTAAAACTCTGGATTTATGTCTGTCCTTTCTCCCCCACTAATCTGTGGGTTCCTTACTTTTATTCATCTTTATACTCTACACTCAGCTCCTTTCAAACTCACCCAATAGTTGGCACAGTATAGGACATGTGGAAAGTGTTAAGTAAATTTAGTAGAATTAAGAGTACCAATGGATTTAATATTTTCCTAGACTAATTATTATTACTACTACTAATGTTTTACAATACAACTGGATTAGTCACAGCTATTTTTCAAGACTAAGTTCTTCCTAGACCCAAGACTTAGAAATTGCAATCTGAGCCTATAATAAAAAAATCATTTTTACTAGAAGTTAATTTCCCAAATATAAGAACCTAAATCATAAAGTGATATAAAAACAGGTTAACATATTACTCAGCCTTTTAATTGCCATAAGATCAAAACTGATCTAGGTTAGAATTCGGTTCTATATATTTGATCACTATTCATTTCTGGCTCTCAGAAATCCCCTTAACATTAGTAGTAAAGATGAAGTAAATGTCCTTGAAACTCATCAAGAGCAAATTTCCCGGTGAGGTTAATGGCCTGAAAAATCAAAATACAATTAACCCTTAAACACCTGGGGCTAGGGACAAGGACCACTGCACAACTGAAAATCCAAATATAACTCTTGACTCCCCCAAAACTTAACTACTAATAGCCTACTGTTGTTTGGAAGCCTTACCGATAACAAAAACAGTCAATTAACACATATTTTATATGTTACATGTATTATACTCTGTATTCTTACAATAATACCTTTAATAAAAAATTTTTTTCAGTATATCTAGGCTACAGGGTTCAACAGGGAGTTTTTTCAAATTGTGGCAAATCTCCAAAAAAAAAAAAAAAATCCATGTATAAGTAGGCCCACACAGTTCAAATCCTTGTTGTTTAAGGGTCTACTGTATTATAATTAAGTGAACGAACATTTTACTTAATCCACAAAATATCTTGAACTTGCATAATTTTAATTTCCACTGCGACAACTTTATATGGAAAAATCACTTCTAATATTAGAATAACCTTACCCATTTTCCAGAATCCTAATGTGTTGTTTATCTATGATTACAAAGCTTGGGTGTCTGACTGGGATATAATGTGAACCAGACAGGATGATGGTTTTGGAAAATGTGCCATGCTTTACATACTACAGTATGAACACTGATTTGGGAGACTGCCTCAAGGATGTACTTTGCACATTTTTCTTGCCCTGCCTTCAAGGAGATAAGTGGGATAAAGGGGAAAAAAAAAACACTAGGCAAAAGTTAATGTTCCTCATGAATCCACCACTGGAGAATCCAGCATGATTTTGGGGAAATAAAGGACTTACTCTGCAGAAAGTACTGCAGGAGGCATAAAGAGTCCTGATGTGTGAGGAATTAGGGTTAGAAGTTTTAAAGGACTATCACCTCTTCATTTCTACCAGGAAGTCAGTCCACCTCATTCTCTCCCACCTTTTAGCTGGTCCCTGACCAGATTCACGACTGGGCAAACCAACAAGTCTGGCCCTCTGGACAAGAATTTGCTTTGATTTACAGTAGTTATGGGCTTCTAAATCTCGGCAATGACTGAGTCAATTGGATTATCAGGCTACCTATGTCTGACTCATGACTGTGGATCTATGCTGGATATGGCTGGAAAGCCGGCCACATCTTGGGATTCAACCACAAGAATGGCTGAGGGTGAGAGAGTGGGGTGGGGGAGGGGGGATAGGTGTCTGATCGTGATTATGGTTGGAGCCAAAGTCCTACCCGGCAAATGCATACAACATTGGTAAAATCTCCTATGCAGTGAGGCTTGGTGCATCCCAACACCCATCCTGCCCCCATACCTACTTCCTTCCAGCCATTCGGCTACCGCGCCAGAATCCCTCTGAACCAGGTAAGAGGGAAAAGCTAAAGGCCAAGCCTCAGGCACTGTGGAGTTTGAGAAATATCTAGCGGCCCTGGAAAGGTCAGTCCCCTCCCACCTCTGTTAATCCCCGCCGGACGGTAAACCAAAACTGGACCAATTTACCCGGCCCGCCAGGCCCTGGATTCTCATCCTTTGCCGGGGCACGAAGAGGTCAAAAAAGCAAATAAAGGCTCTCCGCGTCTGCACTAAAGACTTAGCAGTCGGTGGAAGCACCTCGTTACTAACCTCATTCTTTTCTCCATCTTCACGCGAGGCTTCAGATCCCAGCTTCCCACTTCAGACGACGTTAAGGCTAGCACTGGGACACCAAAGCCCCGGGACAAAGACGCCCCCTTCTCCGCCTGCATTTTGCGCATGTGCGAAGCGGAGCAAGCGGGTCGGCTAGGCGGGGCTGGTCGCTAAGATACCAGGGGCAAAGTTCTGCTTAACGGTCGGCTAGGAAAGGCAGAGCGTTATTCTATTGGTAGAGAGTAGAGAGAGAGGGCGGGCTTCAAGGGCCTTCTTTTTTTCTTACCATTGGGTAGAATAACTGTCAATCAGTAGGCAAGCCTGGGTGGGCGGGGCTGCCTGAGAGGGTGGCTAGAGCTGCCTTAGCAACGGTTTCTGAACTGTGTAGACTGCAGTTGGGCAGCGCGGCTGGTGCCTGAGACCGGGAGGTCCCAGCTGAGGGCACCGGTTGGTGATATGGTGAGTGCCAAGCCGTAACCCCTTGCTGGGCCGGGGCTAGGGCTGAAGTTTCAACCCGGAGCAAGGAAGGAATTTTTTTTGGTTTATGAAATGTATTATTCACCCCCTGATCCTCGAGTGTCATTTAGTAACCCCTCCTCTCGTGGCCAACTAGAAGCACGTTGCCCGTGGCTCTAGGGACGCAAGAGCGGGCCTCCAGTTCATTCGTTCCTCGTCGCCGCCGCCAACCGCGATAGGTTCCGTGATGGAAACAGAAACCACTGGTTAGCCAGAAAGGAATTGAATACGGAGAATAAGAGGCTTAGAAACTGTTGGAGGGTCCAGCCCTCTAGGAAAGAGGTCCTGAACTCTGAAAAAGTGGCCAGGGTAGTTCCTCACTCCGCCACGTTTGGGGAGGTGAAGGTTCTGAAGGCTGGAACTACACACCTGTGTATCTGCAGTCCAGGGACCAAGAAGCTGCCGCCGCCACGTGAAACCGGAGGCGAGGCACACAGGACGGTGACGTCCAGTTGCCATCTCTGCTGCCACTGCTTCTTAACCCGAAGCTGGAGACAAGACAGTGAAATGAGGCTGCAGAAAAACCCCAGGAGTAACTCTGTGACCTTGCTTGTAAGCGGGAAAATGGCACATAGCAGGAAGATGACCTCCACCTTACCTGGATACTGATAATTGGCCCAACTTTTACTCTTACTCCGATCCCTGGAGTAGTTTTTCACCTGGAAAATGTAGTTTTCATCTCTCAGCTTCTGCAATATAGAAAAGTACGCTAAAATAGGTGGGCGAGGGTATTATGTTTCAAGCAAGCATATCCCACAAAATAAATTTTGTTATGAGACAGATAGGCCTAGATGAAAGGTGTGCCTTAGACACTACTTTTTAGATATACCAAGTAAGGCTCGTACTCGTACTTGGACATAACATCTACTGTTGGAGCACGCATGCCTTTGCCTCTTCTCTCTCTCAAAAAGCACTAGTTTGGGCGCCTGGGTGGCTCAGTTGGTTAAGCGACTGCCTTCGGCTCAGGTCATGATCCGGGGGTCCCAGGATGGAGTCCCACATCAGGCTCCCTGCTCAGCGGGGAGTCTGCTTCTCCCTCTGACCATACCCCCTCTCGTGCTCTCTCTCACTCTCTCTTTCTCTCGAATAAATACATAAAATCTTAAGGAAAAAAAGCACTAGTTTGCAGGAAAAATTTAAGTGGTAGAAAGAACCAGCCTTTCCACCAAGATATTAATAACTAAAAGCATAAATATTAGCAAAGGGAAAAGGGAAATTGCTGATGGTCATTATATAGTAGGGAATAGGGTTCTTGAATATGCTTATTTATTATATTTATCATCGATTATTCTGGTTCTGGTAAGTTTTCCAGTTACATAGTTTTTCATGCACATGTGTATTTATTACAGGCATCCAACTACTGCACAGGTTCAGACCAAGGGAAGAAAAGAGCAGCAAAACTTGAACTGAATGAAACCCAAAAGCAAGAAATTAAAGAGGCCTTTGATTTATTTGATGTTGATGGGTCTGGAACCATAGATGTGAAAGAACTGAAGGTTTTGAAATTACTTCTAATTCTAAGACATTTTAAAAATCATCATTTATTTGTGACAATCTTCCAGTCTTTAACAGCAGCCGTCTAAAAGCTTGATATAAAAACTCGTCAGTGTGGACACCTACACCTTCAGTATATATACCTGCCTCGTACTAACAAAATAGTATCTTGTTAGGCATTTTATTCTTGTTTTGTGAATGAGTACAACAAAACCCAGCATGTGACAATGACATATCCTGTGGCATAGTAGGACTGGAACCTAGGCCTCCTGACCTGACTTTCTAGGTTTATGCCTTGTCCATAGTGAAAAAGAGAAAATCTAGTCATTAATAGGTCATTTAAAACCTAGGAATGAGAATGTGACGTATTATAATTTATTTGCTTCCTATTTCAGATTGCAATGCAAGCCTAGGATTTGAACCAAAGAAAGAAGAAATTAAAAAAATGATAGCTGAAATCAACAAAGAAGGAATTGGCACCATTACTTTTGAAGATTTTTTTGCCATAATGAGTGTAAAAATGGTATAGTAGTGATTCTGTTTTTCAAAGAAATACAAGCAATAGCCTTCTACATTTTTTTTGGCTGGAACAATCAGAGGTTTCATAGAGGAAGAATTGGAACTAGGTCTTTAAAGATGGGTAGGATTTAGGTAGATAGGAATAGCAAGATTAAAGATGTTTTCAGGATAGTGATGAAGACTGTCCAGTGTGGAGAAGGTTGTTAGGAAACAATAAGGATATATGGCTGGATAGAGAGAATAGGGTCAGAATTTTGAAGCCTTGAATTCAACAAACATCTCCTGAGTGCCCATTTTTGCCAGGCACTATTCTAGAGAGCATTGGATGAGACAACCTCCCTGTTCTCAGAATTTAGAGCTTACATTTTTCATAATGGTTATCAGTTACTGGTGTTAATAAGAGATACATTCTCTTTATCACCCTTGCCTCTTCCACTTTAACAAACCCTGAATTTAAGATACCTGGGGAGCAAATGTGAGTGCATTTGGAATAATTGTTAAAAATTATAGCAGTGAGGTTTCTAGAGGGGAGGAGGGTAGGGGATGGGTTGGCCTGGTGATGGGTATTAAAGAGGGCACATACTGAATGGAGCACTGGGTGTTATACGCAAACAATGAATCATGGAACACTACATCAAAAACTAATGATGGACTGTATGGTGACTAACATAACATAATAATAAAAAAAATTTATAGCAGTAAAGTCAGAACTCAGCTACCTGGTACATTGCTACTCTAGACCTCAAACACCCCATAAGTCCAATTTGATAGAATAAATGAAAGATTAATGACATTTAATTGCTTCTGTTTTTAAAGAGTGAAAAAGATGAAAAAGAAGAAATATTGAAGGCTTTCAAATTATTTGATGATGATGATACTGGAAGCATAACAGTAAACAATATCAAGAGGGTTGCTAAAGAACTGGGGGAAAATTTAACAGATGATGAACTTCAGGTAATTTTTTATTTTTATAATTATAATTTACATGTATATAAATCTTAATTTAGTTGGTCAAATACATTCAAAATAAAATTTGTGTATTTGAATATTCATTTATATCATTCATTTTTAATGATTTCACATATCATATTTATATTTTGTTTTACAGGAAATGCTTGATGAAGCTGATCGTGACAGGGATGGAGAAATAAATGAGGAAGAATTTTTGAGAATGATGAAAAAGACCACTCTTTATTAATACTTTTTTTATTCCTTCTGGAAAGTTGTTAACAACTTTATATTTGCTACACAGTTCCATCATATCTGAATGTATTTTCAATTTTTAGTTTATATGCACAGATTGGTCTCTTGATGTTTAATCCATGTGAGAAATTACATGTTTCTACCAATATGTTGTTAAATCTGCAGCATCAAGAAACAAAGGAAATGTAATGATTTCTGTGAACCATGGATCCCAAACCAGTATTAATTCCAACTGCTTACTTTTAAAGCTCCAGGGTCTGAAGACTTAGAATTTTTTTAAGTTTAATGAAATTGACCCCACATCCAAATGAATTTGGCAGGTAACTGCAGAGTAGTGGAACATTATAATAAATTGTTCCAAGTCAATAGGCTATCCAAAAAGAATAAAAGAAAATATGACCCCAACCTGACACTATACATAAAAACTAAGTCTAAATTATTGTTGATCAAGACACGCAAGGTAAGAATATATGATCATGACCTTGAGATCAGATTCCTAATTAGGAAACAAAACCCACTAACTTTAAAGAAAAACACTGATAAATTGTACTATAAGAACTTCTCTTCATGAAAGAAGAGAATGAAGACATAAGCTACTAAGTGGAAAAAGATACTTTAAATAAATCTACCTGACTAAATACTTGTATGTAGAACATATAACTTTTATAAAAATCTGTAAGAAAAAGCCCAATTTTTAAAAGTGAGCAAAAGACTTGAGTAGGCTCTCCATAGAAAAGGATATGGAAATGGTCAAAAATATGTGAAAAATCAATCAAAATAAGGAAAGTAGTAGGCTGAATAATGGCCTCCAAAAAGATTCATGTTCTAATCCCTGGAACCCATGAATGTTATAGGACAAAAAAACAAAAAACAAAAACAAAAAAACCCACACAAACAAAAAGCAACTTTGCATGATGATCAAATTAAGGACTATGAGTTAGATTTCCTGGATTATCTAGTGGGCCTGAAATGCAACCACAAGTATCTTTATAAAAGAGAGGCAGAATTGATTTTATATCCTGCCACTTTACTGAATTCCTGTATGAGTTCTAGCAGTTTTGGGGTGGACTCTTTTGGGTTTTCCACATAAAGTATCATATCATCTGGAAAGAGTGAGAGTTTGACTTCTTTGCCGATTTGGATGCCTTTTATTTCTTTTGGTTGTCTGATTGCTGTGGCTAGGACTTCTAGTACTATGTTGAATAGCAGTGGTGATAGTGGACATCCCTGCCATGTTCCTGACCTTAGGGGGAAAGCTCT